AGGTCCAGCGTGAGGCCGCAGAGCAAGAGGCTCAGGAAGGACCCATCCTGCTCCGGGGGGAGCAGCAGCGCCAGCAGTTCAGGGCCCCGCGGAAAAGGTATGGGGGACCCCAACCCCTTACAGGGTGTCCTCACCTGGGGGTGGAGAGGGACCCTTCCCTCCCCGCCAACGTGCTTCCACTGCAGCTTCCCCACTCACACTTTGGAGGGGGACATGCCCTCTTTCTCCTCCAAAGAGGCCGTTTTTTTCCTGCATTAAAAGTATGTTAAGACGCAGTAAGTCATCTTTATTTGGGCAGATCCAATAGATTCCTGAAGGTGGGTTTTTTCCCCTCAGTGGATCATTGATGATTTATATGGTAGGTCGTTTTAAACAGCAGACAGTAATTTAGAAATGGAGAGAGAAAATACCTGCCATGTCTATTTCCTCAGACATCAAGTGGTGAAAATACAACAAAGGAAAGGGATTTTGAAACTCATTAGGGGAAAGATGGATAAGAAGCCAAAAATGAATGATGGAAAGGTCTGACTTGCGCTCAACACCTTCCACCTCAAGTGTGCTAGGCTTGAAAATATCAAGGGCACCAAGACCTGGCCCTTTGAGTTTCAACTAAGGTTTCCTTGGGCGCCACGACTAAGGATCTCCTCTGGTGTGGTAGATAGTGAAGACATTTGTGGCCTGATACAAACCAGCAACATTCTGCAGTGTTTGTCGTGGTGTTTTCAGGTGATTGAGAACATTAGAGCTTTTCTAGGATCCCAACGAAAGTAATAAGAAAACTGCACGTCAGTTTTGTTCCTCATCTGCTGGTTCTCCATTGTTTTCTGCTTGTATCTCTGTATTTCAGCAGTGTGTTTTTTCCTCATTGTACAAGAGAATTGTTCTTAATATCCTTCTTGTTTCAGGCCAAGTTTTCAGCACTTTTACAGATAGCAGATATCCATTTTCTAGTGTGTTTTGCATAAAAAAAACTTTGACTTAGTTCCTTGGGAAATGGTAAATTAAGTACATTACATGGTCCTGATAATTTCAAGAAGGATGTATCTTAGGAGCTAATGGAGAATCCATTTTTGAGATCTGTGCCAAGTGTGTACAATTAAACTTGCTGCTTCTGCCTCATTCTCAACTGAGGAGGACTGGCTTCTGAAATCATGGTGTTACTCGTTTTTTTGATAAAGACTTGTTTTACTGTCGGTATACTTACATAAAGATGTAAGTGTGAGATAACTTTGTGTGCTTCAGAAGTTAAAACTTGCCTCATAGAAGCTTATTTTGGTGTGAAAGTTGCTGATTAATTAGGAAAACATTCATTTGTTTTACTGGCTTTAGTTCTTTTGTGAAAAGTAGTTTTTCACTCCTAGTTGCCGGTATGTCCGAGTTACCATGCATAAGTTCCTGGGGTGCCTTCGAGGGTTTGTGGCTGCAGAAGCCCTGGATCTGGAGTCCTGTCAGAGTTCCTGGCCTCGTCCTCGTCCCCCTTGACCTGGGTATGCTCGTTTGACCTGCGTTTCCATTGGAGAGACCTCCTCACCTACGAAAGGAGGAAGGGCAGGGACCGTTCCACTCTCCCCCTGTGGCTGCTAAGATGAAATAAGGCGCTGGTAGGAAAGCACTCTGTCCCCTGTAAGCGGCTGCCCATGCGTAAGGTGAAATGATGCCAAAACTGCAGTTAGAGTTGGGGCAGTTGCTGAGGGGAAGTTTCCTTCTGTTTGCACAGTTGAGTGTGGCTCGGATGGAGAAGTTTTCCTGGATTAGTCGCACACCAGCTCTGTTCCTGGTTTTTGCCCAAGGTGTGGCTTGGAGCAGCAGTCTACTTTCTGTTAGTAAAATGCAGATGTGTTAGAATTTGTGCTTCTTGTGACTTATGTTCCTATTTTAGCAAGTAAATATCTCTTTCAATGAATAATAAAACTAAACCATAGTGGTGATGTTGAGGAGCGGAGTAGAAAGTTTGTGTCCTCTGCCTCACAGAACTTCTCGGTGTGCTTTTGGCCTTGAGCCTTCTGGTCGGGCCTCTTCATGGCTGTGCTCTGAGAGCCTTTGGATGGACTTCACCACACCCAGGACCCCCTCCTCCCCTCCGGTTCCCCATACCTCAGGGCAACCTCTGCTTCCTCATTGCCTCCTTTATCTGCCAGAAAGAAGGTCCACTTGTGACAGCCTATCCGTAACCTTTGCAGACAATTCTTCAAGGAGTGTTTGTATTACAGACCATGGAAATTTCCACCTGGGCTGGTGAGCATGGACCAGTGAGGAAATGAACAGAACGGTCATTTTTCAGTTTTTCACTTCAAGAAAATATAATTTCCATTACATTTGAGGAATAATCCCAGCCCCATCATTGGAGATGCCTTTGGTTGGTTACTTACTGCTTTCTAGTTTCAGCTGTGATACATGGAGAACTTTGCAGTGGGTTTGGGAGGAAAAGGCTTTTGGAGGAAAGGAAGTCCTTCTCATTTTGCATCTTTCTATAAAACTGTATTTCCTTTCTCCGTAA